CCTCTGCGCTGCCTCCGGGCTCGGCACCGGAGGGAGAGAGAGGAGGGAGAGGCAGCGGGAGAGGAGCGGAGCGGAGCGGCTGCACTGCGCAGGCGTCCCCCGGCCCCTGCGATTGACTTCCTAAAGCAATTGCAGCTTTGGCACTTCCTCACGTCAAAACACACACACACACTCACACACACACACGTACAGAGCCCGGCACCGGCACCCAGTATGGGGACACCGGATGGACAACCAGGATGGGCACCCAGTTTGGGCATCCAGTATGGGGACACCGGATGGGGACACAGGATGAGCACCCAGGATGGACACCCAGTATGGGGATGTAGGATGGGCACCCAGGATGGACACCCAGTATGGGGACACCGGATGGGGACACAGGATGGGCACCCAGTATGGGGATGCAGGATGGGCACCGAGTATGGGGACACAGGATGGGCACCCAGTTTGGGAACCCAGTATGGGGACACCGGATGGGCATCCAATATGGGCACCCAGTATAGAGATGCAGGATGAGCACCCAGTATGGGAGCCTTGGCACCCAGCACCACCACCCAGTTTGGGCACCCAGCATGGGGATTCAGGATGGGCACCCAGTATGGGTGCCTGGCACCCAGCACCAGTATAGGCACCCAGTATGGGGATGCAGGATGGGTGCCTAGCACTGGCACCCAGCACTGGCACCCAGCACCAACTACATGCACCCAGCACCAGTATCAGCACCACGAACCCAGTATTGGCACCCAGCAGCAGAAACATCCACCCAGCACTGGCACCCTGTACCAGCACCAGGCACCAATACCATGCAACCAGTACTGGCACCCTGCACCAGTATGGGCACCCAGCACTGGCACCCTGCAGCAGCACCTATTACACGCACCCAGTATAGAAACACAGAATGGTTTGGGTTCAAAAGGACCTTAAAGATCACCCAGTTCCACCCCCCTTGCCCTGGGCAGGGTCACCTCCCACCAGACCAGGTTGCTCAAAGCCCCATCCAGCCTGGTCTTGGTGCCCTGTGCCAGCACCCAGTACCAGCACCTTGCACCCACTACCGACACCCTGCACCAGCACTGGAGGTTCCCTCTGCCCCCACGGGGTCCTGGCCCGTCCCCACAGGGTGGCCCGTGGAGCTGCTCCTGGCCAAGAGTCCCTGCCGAGGAGCGGCTTTCCCTAAATCAGTGGTTTCTCTGCTTTTTTTTTTTTTATATATTATTTTTTATAAAATGGGGATTATGCGTCGCTAAAAATAAAGGGTGATAAAACTTTGGGAGAGAAAGGAGGCATAAAAATTTCATGATCTTGCCAGCCAGGGAAATTATCCCACTTTATTATTTAAAACCTCATTAAAAACCATTTCCCTGGGAGAGACAATGATCAAACCACCACCGTCTATTTCAATCCTTGCGACGTGCACTCTGCTACGTGGGGGAACGCGTTTAAAATAGGCCCCTACATGTGACTGCTCGGCTGAAAGCACCAACCCCGACCCCCAGCTCTGTGGGGGGGGTCGCACGGGGCCTCCCACCATTTCATCCTCCTCAATACTCTGGATTTTCCCCTTTTTTTACCCATCCGGCTCACTCCGGCGGGAGCTACAAAGCGCCTGCCCGGGGAGGATCTGCCCAAAGACCTCAGCGGGCGAAACAGGGTCCTTCCTCTGATTGTAACTTTCCCAAATTTTGGGAGCAGCTCGCCTGCCCAGGGAGGATCTGCCCAAAGGCCTCAGCGGGCGAAGCAGGGTCCTTCCTCTGATTGTAACTTTCCCAAATTTTGGGAGCAGCTCCAGTTTGGAGCCACCCGTGGCTGCCAGGCTGCTCCCTCCTGCCGTGCGACCCGGCCACCAGCCCCTCCGATTTGCTTCAGCGGTTCATTTAGCTGGAAGCTCACAAACGCCCGGAAAAGCTCCCACATCGTCAGGAACCGCTTTGTAACCCGTGTTTTGGGGATTTTTGAAGAAATCCCCGTGAACATTTGAGCTTGTGATTCCTTGTGATTCCAGAGCCAGCCTGTCCCTTCGGGTGGTGAAAAGACCGTGAGTTTTTGGTTTAAAAGAAGTCCCTTTTTTTTATAAAAAGTGTGGATTGGGAGAAAAATTTGGAGCTCCCAAATCACCTGCAAAGTAGTGCTGTCAATGAACAGCCAAACTCACAGCAGCTGGTGCTCCCAGTGCCACAGCTCGGCCTGGACACCTCCTCTTTAAATACACACACTCCGGAGGGAAACGCATCTTTCCTAGCCATTGCAAATAAATTAATAGCCAGGATTCCAGCCAGATAAATAGCCAGGAACGCCGCTCCGATCCGCCTTTGAGGTTGGAAGCTGCTTTCCCCCAGTGCCAGCTTCTGCTGGGAAGCAGGAGCTCCTGGGAAGGGCAGGAAGGGTCCTGCCCACGCTCAGAGGCACCGAGGAAGCAAGAGCCGGTTCTGTGCTAAACGGTGACAGTCGGTGGCGGAGGAGCCGGCGGGGGACTCCCCCCACCCCGCGCCGGTCCCGCAGCATCCTCCCGCGCTGATAACGCACCCCTGGGCTCTCCCGCACCCCTGGGCTCTCCCGCACCCGGAGGAGCCGGCGGGGGACTCCCCCCACCCCGCGCCGGTCCCGCAGCATCCTCCCGCGCTGATAACGCACCCCTGGGCTCTCCCGCACCCCTGGGCTCTCCCGCACCCCCGGGCTCTCCCACCCCAAACCCCCGCCCCGGCCCCCGTCCCGCAGCAGAACCAGCGCGGGAGCGTTGGGGCAGGAAACCATGGAATGGTCGGAGTTGGAAGGGACCTTAAAGATCATCCAAGCATCCTCCTCGGCTGCGCCCCGAGTTGATACCGCACCCCTGGGTTCCCCCACCCCCCTGGGTTCTCCCATCCCAAACCCCCTCCCGGCCTGTGCCCTCCCTCCCCGCCGCCTTCCCAGCCCCTCTCCCGGCTGCAGTGGCGGGGGCCGCCCCCCGGGGCCGCCCCCCCCCCCCGGGGGAGGCGGGGGGGGGCCCGCGCCAAGAGTCCCTCCCCAGCTCTCCTGGAGCCCCTTGAGGGACTGGAAGGGGCTCTATGGTCTCCCTGGAGCCTTCTCTTCTCCAGGCTGAACAACCCCAGCTCTCTCAGCCTGTCCTCACAGCAGAGGTGCTCCATCCCTCTGATCATCTTCGTGGCCCTCCGCTGGACCCGTTCCAACAGGTCCATGTCCTTCCTGTGCTGAGGACTCCAGAGCTGGACACAGAGCTCCAGGTGGGGTGTCACGAGCGCAGAGCAGAGGGGTAGAATCACCTCCCGTGACCTGCTGGCCACACTTGATGCAGCCCAGGATGTGGTTGGCTTCCTGACAAAGAGTCCCTCCCTGTCTGTCCTGTAGCTCCCTTCAGGTATTGGTAGGCTGCTATAAGGAACCATCCTGTTGGGTGCTGGTGCCACCTCCCTTTGGTACCCAACAGGCCTTTCTGAAGGGAGGGCCTGTCAATGGGCTGCTGATGGGCTTTGGCTCTAATGTTCTGGTGCTGGATGAGCAGGAGTGACCTCTGCCTGGAGAGCACGGGCAGTGGGGAACTGAGTATAACACAAAACAAACACCTGAAAAGCTTGTTTTCCTCCTCAGGGAGAACTCTAGTAACAACTACCTGAAAGGAGGGTGTAGCGAGGTGGAGGTCGGTCTCTTCTCCCAAGTAAAAGACAATAGAACAAGAGGAAACGGCCTCAAGTTGCACCAGGGAAGGTTTAGGATTGATATTAGGAAAAAAAATCTTCACTGAAATGGTTGTCAAGCATTGGAACAGGCCCAGGGAAGTGGTTGAGATGCCATCCCTGGAAGCATTTAAAAGTCACGTAGATGTGATGCTGAGGAACATGGTTCAGTGGTGGAGTTGGCAGTGCTGGGTTAACGGTTGGAGTCCATCTTAAAGATCTTCTCCAACCTAAAGGTTTCTGTGATTCTGACTCCAGGCAGGATGCTAGGGAGCAGGCAGCCTCTTCTGATGAATATCTGTGAGGAGTCAGCCCGTGTCAGGGCTGAGATACAGCGAGGCTCCCCGTGGGTCCACAAAGCACCATTTGATGGAGAAATCCTGTCAACGGTTGCTCAACACCCACCTCCAAAGCACTCTGCACTATCAGCCTTGCTGGTTTGGCAGAGCGGGCCGATCCCTCCCAGGATTTGGGATCCCTCCTCCAGTTTGTGGGCTCCTCAGGAGGCTGGCAGGTCATGAAACGGGATTCATGGAGGCTGGTCAGGTGTTTTGCATTAGAAAAACCTCTTTCTCCCACCAGCCACCTGAGCCTTTTAAACTCTGATTTGACTGGAACGACTGAAAAAGACACACCTGGGGCTGGAGCTCTGAGGAAGTGATAGCACTTGAGCTACTACGGCCCAAGTTGCAGTTACAGGAGAAACATCTCTGTTCTGTCACCCCACAGGAAGCGCTTGTCAGGGCTGAGATTGTAAAGGTCATGTTCGTCCTGTCCCTGAACACGCGTCTCCTGCCTGCCCAGGGCAGCCCGAGGACATGGTGAGGTGAGTGTGAGCCAAGAGCTGGCATGTGTGGGTGCAGGAGGCAGAGCTGCCCCGGGGACCACCCCTGCTGTGGGGCAGAAATCACCCCCGTGGGGCTCAGAGCAGAGCTCTCAGAACACCTGGTTTGGGCTGCGCAGTCCCACCACAGCCAATTTATTCCCTTTGGAGAAATATCTGGGCACCTTTATAGCCTCTTGACTCTTTTAAGGCCCAGGGGATGTAAGAGCCACATTTCCTGACCGATCTCCACCTTAGGGGTGCCCCAAACCCACGTATCTCCCTGGCTTCCCGTGACTGCTCACGTGCTGACTTAAGAGTCGTCCTGGATGGGGTCACGTTTTTCTCCCAGAGGGGCCTGAAGTGTAAAGATTGTCTCTCCTGTACTCTAGCTTGAAGATAAAGCAAGAATTTGAAGTTCTGGAGTGTGGCTCCCTGCAAGAGAAAAGTTTAAAAGGGGCTTTTGTACCAGCAGGAGCGATACGACTCTAAATTCTACCACGTTTAGAGGGAAAAGGGTTGATTATTTTGATTTCCTAATGTAACGGAGCTTAGGAAATCACATTGTACATCAGCACGTGCATATTCTTCCAAATTCTTCTCTTTAAAAAACTTTTTAACCCTTTGGCCAGTTTTATCCCAAAGTGAGAGAGGTACAGAGCTCCATTCCTGCATTTACAAACAGCTGGGTGGAGAATGACCCTGCCAGGGCTGCGACTGTGAGAAAGGCCAACACACGCTGTCAGACCTTATTAGACAGCAGAGAATCCACACGGATCGGACGTTTGACTGACGCCCAAACCGTGGGAAAAGCTTCAGTCCGAATTTGTGCCCTCAGAGGCACCCAGGTCAGTCCCCTGGGAGATGCCAGCCTGTTGAAAGCCAGACTCAGCAAATTCTGCAGTGCAGGGAGCTGTTTGTTTGCTTTTTAGTGCCAAGCTGGGAGGGGGTGGGCAGGGAGAAGGAGTTTTGCAGGATTCTTAGCCAAAAGGGCTAGTGCTGGTGCTCCAGGGTGGGATGAAGAGCAGCACAGCCCCAAACCCTGCCTTTGGTATTGTAGAGATGTCCTCCTCCTTGAAGGAATCACTGTGAATTATCAGCTGTGCTGCTGGGGAGTAAAAGGTGGCAGGGCCTTGGGGGAACTAATCCATAGTACCAGTATGGTCTTAGAATCATAGAATGGTTTGGGTTGGAAGGGACCTCAAAGATCATCGAGTTCCAACCCCCCTGCCATGGGCAGGGACACCTCCCACCAGAGCAGGTTGCTCAAGGCCACATCCAGCCTGGCCTTGAACCCCTCCAGGGATGGGGCATCCACAA